GTGTCTTTTGACGTCAATTATTAGGTTGCTAAAGGCCATATATTGTAAATAGTAAAACGATTACTAACAAGTATATTAATAAATATACATTTATGTATACACAAATATCTTTTTTTTTATATATATATAAATATATTTACTATAACCAGGTGTTATATTACAACCATGGAATTCTGAACACACAGAAAAGTTATTTTTACGTTTTATGTAAAATATTAATAATAAAATATCAGCAAATCAAATATACTATTGTTATTTTCTTCATAGTTGTGATAACTAGAATAGACACCAACTATTTTTATTGATACATTTAGTTGTTCTTTATAAATTGTAAATTTGTTATAAAATCATTCAGATCCGATTCTTTCTTAAACTTTGTATATTAGTGAACTTAAGAAAATGTTTTACTGTTGGGAAATTGTGAAATTCGTAATAACATAATTATGTTGCGTCTGGCTAATTTTCAATCTTAATAAGTCAAACTTTTTTTTATATAACCTTGGCACTGGCATAAAAGTTGGCAAATATTTGTATTACATCCGTTTTGTGTGATGCAAGTAGGAAGGTTTAATATTTGAGAAATACGTATGCTACTTTACAGTGTACATTTCTTTTTATTTGCACAAATGATGTGTTGTTATACGTACATACATACGAGAATGTGTATAAAAAAATAACTTGTTTCCATATTAATTCTGAAACGTGTTATCGAGTAGGTCGTCGTCGTCGCTTCTCTGAAAATAGTTTATGAGGGGAACTTCTAACGCCTCTTGTTCAACATGTTCATCAATAGTTTTGCAGGATTGTGTAACATAAATCATTTCTGCACACTGGCACGCGTTTCACGAGTAAAATCGTAGTATAGATTATTATATTTAAGTAATCTCATTTATTTAAAATATATATTTAAAAGGTTCTTTAAAGAAAACATATATCTCGTTCATTACAGGTCTTATTACCTTTCAATATTTATAGCAGTCTGAAAATGCTACTATTGTAAGTTATCTGCGTTGTTTTGAAATATTTCATGTTTTTACAAGATTGAGCAAACATCTCTTTTTTCGAAGTGTTTCCATCTTATATCGTAGATTTTAAATAGATAAAGATAGAAAGAAAGAAATAATTATTTTGAAACATTCTTATCAATTGGTGAACCGCGCGCCACAAGTTCAAGTATCTACTTATACAGAGTATTCTCACATTTATTTATAATGGTGTCTGTCGAAGGTCCAAAAAATGCTAGGTAACGTTGGTAGCGCAGGACTTCAGTTCTCAAACTTCTTTATTTCGAAACAAGATTGATTGTGGGATGGAATCCGTCTTTGTCAGCGGTATAATCAACCCTGTAAAGAATTAATTTCACTAAACATCATCTTGTACTAAATTTTGGTTAGTTTGGTTAGTTGTTTAAGTTTACGTATAAAAACGGTTTAATGATGATAATAGAAAATGAATGAATGAGTTTCGTTTATAAGTAAAATCTAGGAATAAAATTAAATGTCTGCTTATTTATAATGTTACAAGATGAAACATCTTTGATGTTACAAGATGAAACATCTTTGATGTTACAAGATGAAACATCTTTGAAACCATTGCAAAATTTTTCTTACCAATAAATTCACCACTGATTCGAAGATCGAAGGTTCTTCTACACAACGATCCTCTCAAATTTGTGTACGATTTCTTCTGTCGGTTTTATGAATTAATCTAAAGTCATCATAATGTACCTTATGTTACTGTAAATTTGACACTGCAGTTATCATTTAAAGAAAGAAAGAAATCGTATGTCATATTTTAAGAGGTTGTTGTAAAGGGACTATATTTAATCTTAAAATCTATGGTAGATTCATTAATGAAAAACTTCTGCAATGGTTTCGGAGGCGTTTCAATTTGTAGCATCTTCAAAATAACCCTCAGTTTCCACCATATTATATAGAAGTATTTTAGAAAATTATATTATTATTATAATAGTTTAAATATTGACAACTTGTCGAAAATTGAAAATTTAGTGCGCAAATATTTTTTTAAGTCGCCGTACACCATTTACTTACCTGTAAGTGTGACCATCTGGCGACGTGAAAGAGAAACTACCGGTAACATCGAGGGATTCGTCGTCGGTACCCTCGTTCTTTAATTCTGCGGTTTCTTCTCTTTTTTGGCCGTCGCTTTGCTCGTAACTGAAATGATATCCGCCCACTCCGATATTGTTCGATTCTTCCTGCTTTACAATTGTAATATCATTTGGATTGCCTTGAGGTGCTGCGAGAGCTCCTACTATCGCTGTCACGAAGATGATGATCTACAACAAATAATATTGTTTAATTATTTCATTTTATACCAACTTATCTTAAATTTCTGGTACAAAGGAATGTCGATGTATACATATAAGTACAGAAGTTGACGATTTTCAATTATGATTCAAATTAGTGTAAGTTTCACTTCGTGAATTGTGCACTTTTAAAAGGTACAATAAACAATAAACTATTCTGGATTTCTAATTTGGATAGAAGTTAAGAATTGGATGAATTATAACGTTTGTTCAGACATAATTTGTTTATACGTAGTTTAGGTTTCAGTAGCAAAAATTGAGAGAAATCAATTGGTAGACATCCAAAGCTATCTCGAGTCCAGCGTCAGCGTGCACACTACTTAAATACACGACGAATCTAAAATCCAAAACTTTATATTTCGATAAATTGTAAACGCATGATATCAATGTATGTACTTTGCTTGGAACGATTATATTTCATCAGCGAACATAGTCATGGTTTATTAAACAATATCTACTAATTCTAAGGGTCACTGAACAGAATTATACAAATATTTAATAATCATTCGTCTTAGATCGTGTGCTGTCACAAAGGGTCGTACAACAGTAACAGTTTTAAGCAATGAATGTTTCCTAGAACGAAGCGGCCAATTTACGATTTTGCCACCTATTTTCATACGAATGAACGGCTGATTTTCTCTAGTGCTGTATTTCTATAGGTGCACTTTTATTGCAAGAAGTTCGTCGCGAAGTTTGTTGTCGTCAAAATGTTTGCACTAACGAGAATTTACGTTACTGTACAGGCTTTTAATTCTTCGCTGTGAATACGATAAGATGGCTTAGTTTCAAGGATCAGACCAGATCCTGTCGCCGATACACGGAACCGCGGGCCCGATGATCGTTCGCCGAATTTTTGATTAATCATCCGGTGTGCGTGTAACATCCCGCGCGCACACAAATGTCACAGTTTTCTTCACTTTCACTGTTACGTAAATAATTTCGGCCGACTGCGCCCCGTAGTCGCAAAGAATTTCCGGTACCCTATCCCAGCACGAACACGCGCCTGTTTCATCGACGAATGTTTAGGACGGAACGCGGGTATTCTTCCTCCGTGAACTCGACACCCACCGTCTTCATTGCGAGGACTCTTCGTGCGAACGATTCCTGACCCTTTCGTCCTTAAACAGCGATCGACACGCGATACCAAGAATCCACGGTGCATTTGCCTTTATATAGTCGGAAAATCATGAGCGTTGCACCCCCACCTGTATTTTAGACTGAATAGAGATTCGCGGATGAGTCTCCCCTAGCATGCATCTGTGAGTGCAACGGTGCAACTATTCACTCTTTACGAGCCTGTTTGCATTCTTCACTGCGGCGCTCTTTGCTCAACCGTTTCTCTTACTTTGTTCCACGGCGCCGGTGGCAAGGAGACACTTCAAATTCGTAAAAATCCGAATCCTATCGAACATCATGCTTTCGTTTACCACTTAAATCAACTTGGAAATTGTATGTACACAGCTTCGGCTTCGGCTTCGTGTTGTCCGAGGATTTGTAGAGCGGTTGTATTTCTTTCAATTAAATTCTTTCATGTCACAATTTGGAAGAACTCGTCAAAGTTTTCCAAAAGATAATTATATACTTATATATATTATTTATATTATATATTATGTATTATGTATTATGTATTGTATATTATATATTATATATATTATATATTATATATACAATACTTTAATATTGTCCAAAAAAGCGAATGTATATATGTAACCCCTGGCAAAAAGTATACGTTCAAATGAACTAACTAAGCGTCTGTCACATTATACTTCTTCGTATAATTCATATGAAAATCTTTTCCTTGAACGATAAAGGCTAGTGTAGTAATTGTCCGCTCAGATTTCGGTTGATCTTCAAGTAACAAGTTCAAATTAAATACGATGGTTCGTACGGTTTAGCAGCTGATAGAATCCTGTTTTGTCATTGCTATGGCCGAAAATCAGAGGATTTCGATTGAAGTGTAACTGACCTGTTAACTTTTTGGGGCACGGTGGGATTAAAAGCGTCCCATCTTTTTTTATGCATGGTAATGCATGGTGGGAAATTTTTATGCACGGTGGCACCTCGAAATATTGCAATAGCTTCATGCCCATTCATGAACCCACGTGGCACGGTGGGACTGTTTGAGTCCCACCCTATAACAACAAATTGAATTAATTAATTAATAAAAATATTATATTTTTNACTTCTTCGTATAATTCATATGAAAATCTTTTCCTTGAACGATAAAGGCTAGTGTAGTAATTGTCCGCTCAGATTTCGGTTGATCTTCAAGTAACAAGTTCAAATTAAATACGATGGTTCGTACGGTTTAGCAGCTGATAGAATCCTGTTTTGTCATTGCTATGGCCGAAAATCAGAGGATTTCGATTGAAGTGTAACTGACCTGTTAACTTTTTGGGGCACGGTGGGATTAAAAGCGTCCCATCTTTTTTTATGCATGGTAATGCATGGTGGGAAATTTTTATGCACGGTGGCACCTCGAAATATTGCAATAGCTTCATGCCCATTCATGAACCCACGTGGCACGGTGGGACTGTTTGAGTCCCACCCTATAACAACAAATTGAATTGAATTATTACTACTTTTTTTATGTTTTTATATTATGCGATTCCTTCGTTAATAAAAATGTACCAATTCTGTTTAATTTAAAACGCAATGAAATTACTGTGCAAAACATGGGTCTATTTTATTTTATGAAATCCTGTGCCCCAAAGAGTTAACCGAGTCTAATGAGACGTATCTAACAGGTGAAGTTCGCGGTAGTAACTTCGCTCGCAATGCCAGAGACCTATCGTTTCTCTATACAGAGACGATTGTTCCTGTTCTCACAGCATGCGAGGATGTGAGCCTAGTCACGTCAAGTTCATCTATGTTTAGATCGCAAGAACAAATCTCACAATCGTTATCATATGCATCTCGAATTCAGCTGAATGGAATCACTTGTTAACGCTAGAACTGTGTCTATTTATTCTCCGATTAATTTTTAGTGCAGTACACTTGCGAGTAAATCAATTTGTTTAATATATTATTAATTAATTAATTATAATTATTAATTATATTACATATATAATACAATTAATTTATAATCATATATGTATATATTATATAATTAATTAATAATTATATATATATATATATAAAACGAAAAAAATTATTGCAAATTATTACAAAGAAAATATATATAATAATATATATTATATATAATTATATATAATAATTTATAATTAATTAAGTTTAATATATATAATTTATATATAATAATAATAATTTTCTTTGCGTTTCTAACCATTGGGATGCATGAAATCTGAAATGAGCAGCTTTGGCTCGTCCGGCAGTGTTAGTGCTAATTACAAAGTAAATATGTACATACATAGAATCACTGTACTACAAATATTTAGAAGAAGAATTTCTGCCATTGTTTGGGGCGTAGAAAATGATCAGTCAAGAATAAAGTATAAATAATTCTTCAATTCTTCTCTGCCGCCAGATGCGTGGTATGCAAAGCTACAAATACATACACCTATATCTCGATCAGTGTAATTGAAACTATGTTCTATTCGCCTTTACATAATTACTTAATTGACGGATTTTCGCTTTCCCATACAATTCGTAGCGATGTCTCGCTCGAGAGGCTAAACATATGTTCCCAATTCTTTTTTTCACGAAATCAAAGATTAACTTGTATCGTGGCCTTTCGTTCACATAGAGTTCACAGGTGGTTGTTAAGTAATTAAGATTCCGTATATTTACATCACATACGTAGCATGCGTCTGTAATTTTACTCCGCGCTTTCAGTGATGCTTGACGTCGAGCAAGTGTTGATCCGTGCTTGTTATCAAACGTAACATTCTCTGTTCTACTCATTGGAGACTCTAGCTACAATTGTTTTTCAACAGACAAATTCCTGGTAATGATTTTTAAATTGTACATAGAGTGGCCCACACAAAAGTATTCGTACACCATAACTTCTTCAAAACTGAACTATATATGACTTGAATTATTTTTAGATGATAGAGGAACTAGTCTATTAAACGATGGCTAGAAAGCTTTCTTTTTTTAATTTTGCTATTCTTTGGAATGAAAAGAAAAAATTAAAAATCCTCGTTTCTCAACTTTTTTATCTGAGCTTATAACGAAGATTTAAAAAATGCGTTACGTAGATCGCGATAACTTATATGCGTGCTGAAAATTTGACCAGTGGATGGCCTTCATTTACAATATTCTGAAGATTGCCAGTTGTTTATTATTATGGCTGTATATTATTTTTACAAAAGTATCAAGATCAGCATAATTAAATCAGCAGAAATATTTGTATGAAAATCGTACGAAGAACTGTGCTTGACACCGACTGGGAACCGTTTTCAAAATGTGCAGGCAGTGAGACATTTTTCTCAAAAGTTCGCCGCTTAGAATATTTGAGATAAAATTTTTCATGTATGCCACATGAACAATGTATAATATAAAAGAGAAGTGTAAAATAGGTCTAATAAAAATTGACGTAAATGTCATGGATTAAGCGACAGTAGCGGTATTCTCGTTCAAAGCATAATAAAACGGCGATAAAGCATCATAGATGACATTTTTATTATTATGGAGCTGCTATAAAGATTATTATCTATAACAGATCTAGGTGTAAAGATTCGATTGTGAAACAAAGTCAAGCCGATAGAAACGTTTTGGTATCCGAAGAAATCAGTGGATCCAACGTTACCAATGAGTGCGGCAGAATTATTGTTGCGTTTAGAATCACGACGTTATATCGGTTTAGATAAACAGTTTAACATTTTTGTAGTTCATTTAAGATTCATGAAATGAAACGTGAATTAGATATCGCACAAAATCATCTGTAACTAATATATTATATATAATATAATATAATATCTGTCTCTTATACACATCTAGATGTGTATAAGAGACAGATATTATATTATATTATATATATTATATTATATTATATATATTATATTATATTATATATATTATATTATATTATATATATTATATTATATTATATATATTATATTATATTATATATATTATATTATATTATATATATTATATTATATTATATATATTATATTATATTATATATATTATATTATATTATATATATTATATTATATTATATATATTATATTATATTATATATATTATATTATATTATATATATTATATTATATTATATATATTATATTATATTATATATATTATATTATATTATATATATTATATTATATTATATATATTATATTATATTATATATATTATATTATATTATATATATTATATTATATTATATATATTATATTATATTATATATATTATATTATATTATATATATTATATTATATTATATATATTATATTATATTATATATATTATATTATATTATATATATTATATTATATTATATATATTATATTATATTATATATATTATATTATATTATATATATTATATTATATTATATATATTATATTATATTATATATATTATATTATATTATATATATTATATTATATTATATATATTATATTATATTATATATATTATATTATATTATATATATTATATTATATTATATATATTATATTATATTATATATATTATATTATATTATATATATTATATTATATTATATATAATATAATATAATATATCATCTGCAAATAATATTGTTTCCGAGATGAACCATAAATTGAAAGTAATATTAAAAAAATTTCTTGCGCTCTTTGTAATCCCTAATGTAATTTTTTTTGTAAATTATACGCGATCATAACGAGTCGGAGAATACTCGAAGAGCGTTAAAGGCATCCATTCGCAATGAACACGATAAATAAGTATATCATAAATTTCTTCGATTCTATCCGCAGAACGATATATTGTCTTAGCCTCGCGTTTCGACTTTATCTAAAATTTGTTGGACACCGTTTACGGTATTACGGTAACCTTCTGTTCCCCGAAACTACCGTTCTTAATCTTGATGGGCTCAGAGGCGATTGGTAGTACACCCGGGAACATTCTTTTTTTCCCTCCGAAGGAAGATGTGAAACGGCCACTTAGAAGATGTCAGCGGTTTCATCATCCGGACGGTAAATCCCTGAGAATGATCGGGGCAAAGGCGTAGGAGCCAGCCGTGTCCACCTGTCGTTGCCGTGCGGGCCGAATGTGAAAG